GTTGTGTTTAAGGCCCAATCCAGTGGCGCCCTCTACTGTACGGACAATCGACGCCATGAATGAAACAAACGACATTTAGTGGGTCAAAACAGCAATTTCTGACAAAATCATTTTCGCTCATTTTTTGACATTCAGAAGGCCATTTAGCGGAAGTAAACCATAGCTCTATACTCAGTGCTCATGCCCCATACCATGCAAAAAACCATTTTCAAAAAGCGTCCCACGACCTGAAAGACTTTCCCTGTAAGAGTTGGGGGTAGGACGCGGTCTAAATATTCTTTATACCTGGAAAAATCCCGCTCTTTTCTCACATGATGAATCCCATTTCAGAATAGTGATGAAAGGATCCATCGAAGAGCGAGTGTTGCAATTGCAGATGAAGAAAATGGAGTTAGCAAGTAATGTATTGAAGGGGTTGGTTTCAATTTCCGTTCACACTTTGTTGAGCTAAACACCGTTGATATGGTTTCATAAGTAAACGCTACTCACAGGGCGGTCTCGAAAAAGAATATGAATCTCTCAATGGCAGATCTCAAATTCCTGTTCGATCTGGATGCAAAGAAATAGAAGTCTTCATTATGTTATACTTTTTCATTGGTCTCTTGTGACATCCTCACTTCAGTTTGTTGTTATGATTCAAAGCTTTGTAAAGCGTATTATGAATTTAGTAGGAATTTTGCGACTTGCCCGTCTTCAATCTTAACGTAATTGTTAGACAGGCATATGTATCCATTTCACTTTCTCTATTCAGAGTTTCTTATTTCCTTGTAACATTACCGAGAATTTCATCTTGTCTCTTGTAATTGTTTAGCTTTATTGTAAGTTTTGTCGATGTTTACAAGAAATGGTCTTATTTCTTCACCCCGAACCATACCGACACACTCCGACGCACACACGTACACACATCACACACACACACACACACACCCACACATACATACGCAAAAACACTCATTTAACGCGTAGAGCAGGATTGTTCTTAGGCCTATCATCAGCATTTTCCATGTTCACCTTGTCTTTAAATAAACATTCCCTGTATTTCATTGCTAGCCTTTCAGCCAGCGTTCTTTTCACCAACAAGCTTTTTTCGTACGGGACAAATAACGTGGCGATTTTCCATGTGTTGACACTGTTGCTGATCTCAAAAGTTTGGCGAGTTGTGGGTGAAGTTCTGGCCTCGGATGGGACCCAAACCAGTACATGTGCTTCAGGGATCGTGCTCTTAAACTTTTACACTATCGAGACCCCGCTTGCCCAGGCCCTTTCGCCCTTTCGATTTCACATATGTCATAGCTTATCAGCACTCACACGTACAACGTGGTTAGCTGGTCACTCAAATCAGCATTAGAAGGAGATGTGCTTGAAGAACAGTATCTTCTACAGAGAAAAGAAGTGCCTCGGAAGTAAGAAATAAGGCAGTTTCTGGGAGCGTGTTTCTTTCAGCTCTGCCAAAGGATTTGGGTTTGTACACTCTCCAAAACAAACGATGTGCTTGACTGTCTTGATACTAACAAGGGAAGGATCCCAAGTCGAAGTGGCCATTTGAAATGGGACCTATACTGCTAGGCGTATTTTTTGATGCTGTTTTCAAATCTGCATTCAAAATCTGCCAAACGATTCTCTGAGAGAAGTTATGGAGATGGTCTCCAAGGAACGCTCAACAGGGGAAAGCAGAAAAGCCATGGTCGCCGGCAGCC